TGACTTTTACCAAACTAATCAAGCTCCGACACAGTGCTTCTGAAACAGTGTGTTGTTTTTTTCAATACATGCGCCGAAGCTTCAGCTTCAAACTGCCCATCACTAACTCACACAAATAAGTGGGTAAAAGACTAAGAATTGTGTTATAGATAAAACACTGCCAGTGAATAAGCCGCCTGACAGCCAATGGAAACCAACCAGTCAAAGACAGTAGGGTACAATGATGAGTTGAGAACTGACTACCAGTCATGAACCTTAATACTCCATGATAGGCTGCATCCAGGAGTTGGAGTGAACCTACTGGGGCATTCATATAGATTAAATCACCAAAATCCAATAAGGGAAGGAAGATGGCAGTGATTAGCWGCTTCCTAACAGCCAACAAGGAGCAAAGTTTATTCCTACAAAGGAAGCCTAAATGCATCCTCAGTTTTTAAATTAAGGAATCAATGAGCATGGCAAAAGAAAGATTATTGTCAATAATAATTCCTAGATATTTGTAAGAGACAACCTCCTCAATTGGGGTACTGTCAAATGGGGTGAGAAATGAGGCCACTGGCGGGATCTTCTTCCTACCAGAAAACAGCATGGACTTAGTTTTACCTACATTTAGAACCAGACAGAATACCTTTGATCAAACTGCCAGATAAGGGATACATGCAACAAGACTTGGATTTGAGGTCAAGAGACTTGAGACTTGACTTGGATTTTTGGTCAAAGATGTGGACTTGACTTGGACTTGCAACAAAAGACTTGCTGGTATCTCTACAGTCAACCTTATTGTTTTTGTGTAGCCTACTGCTAGCTTTAGTCCTAGCATCCATGCTAACCTCATACAGCGATCTACTGCAGTCAGTGATATTATAACTGTCTATATTGTACATGTTAGTATACTCATCTCCTGTATATATTCTGTTGTATATTTAATTCATACCTGCAGTATTACACTTGCACTTTACTATTCTGCACTACTCGTCATCTAACTCTACTCGGTTAGATGCCAAACTGCATTACATTGTTCAAGTACTTGTTACTGTGTTCAATGACAATAAAGTTGAATCTAATCTAATATTATATTTACACAAATTCACCATTAAGCTTTTTAAATGATGCAGAAGCAGTGGCTCAGGTGATAAAATTACACAAACACATGATGAATGCAGCAGGCTAAGTTATAAAACACTGGTAAAAAAAACCTTTTTACAATTACACTATCAAACACCTGGACCCTCCAGCCAACCTTTCTGAATGTTCCATGATTTTTGATGTTAGATGTGTTGAAATTTGGTCTAGGATCTTTTTCTGTTACAGTTTTAACCCTGACTCTCCATAGAATCTTGTATTCACACCTGCATAAAAGGTCTGGACCAATGGGGGAAACGTTTACAGCAGACCAAATGTCAGGTGTGAAGACTCCGTTTCTCCCAGTGCTGTATAAATCAGAATCAGAATCAGATTTATTGTCATTCAACATCAAAGGTGCAATGCAGAATAAAAATGCAGTTAATATCTTTATATTCTGTTTGGGTCAAAATTTTCATTCTGTTCAGTTTTTTCTTTTCACTGTTTTGTTTTTTGAATGATAACTGCTGCCATGGCCCAATGACTAAACAGTTTCACYAATCTGCAGTTCTGCAGCTTCTTGGACTCCATTCTCCTCAGGCCCTGAGTCAGCATAAAACGATGCATTCACAAGGTTTCCAGTGTCTCTGTTCTTTTTCAATGTCACTGTTTTGGCTTCATATTCGCTGTGACACTTTATACACAGAATTATTCTTTAGGATGTCTGACACTGAAAAGTTATCAATTATTTTTTATCTAATCAAACAAAACTCACACAAACAGGCAGCAGAAAGGTTTGCAAAGAACAAGCATTTATTTGAGGTTGTAGTTTGAAGGATGAGACATCAGACATGTCCGATTATCTCCCAGAAGTGARGTCATCGAGGCTTCACCTCCTGCTGGAAGTGACATCATCGAGTCCGATGTGTCAAAGTGACAACTTATGGGTTTCTGGTACAAACAGCACCAAGCTTGATGCTACACAGAGCATCGTTGARGTAATCTTTATCTGTGAAAAACAAGATTTAGAAAAAGTTAAAAATACTCTGATAAAAAATCTTCAACTGATAAAGAATTATTAGTTCTGAGCCCAACATCAAGAGTGACCCTCAGATGAATTATTTTTGTACTGTTTAGGTTGATCATCATGCAGTTCTCATTTCCACCATGGTTGTTTGGTTCTCCTGGACRCCAGCCCTTAAAGGTGAACGGCGTCCCGTCGCTCCAGAACCAAACACCCTCCTGTCAGACAAAAGTTTTATAAATTCAGTTTATTTCCATTCTGAATGGATTAATTAATTTATTTAGGATAATGTGCAATTAAAACATAACCATAAAAACAACTGATGCATTGCAACAGATCTTGATGTCAAATTTTTTTTTTTTAAATTTCAGAGAACCCTGACCTTCACAGCATCGTAGCCTCCAACCCAGGCTGGTACGTCGGATCCTTTTGATCTACGGATCAGTTCTCTGACGAACTCATARTCACTTTGTGTCTCCAGAGACTCCAGARTTGCACCRWTTGAGTTACAGAAACGCTGAGAAGGAAGATTCAAACCAACAACTTTAGACAACCATTACAACACCTCACACCATGACAAGATCATTACATCACCATTACACCATGAGATCACTATGACATCATTACATCACTGAGATCACAATGACATCATTACATCACCATTACACCGTAACATTACTATGACATCATTACATAACTATTACACAATGACATCATTACATCACATTACACAATGACATCATTACATCACATTACACAATGACATCACTGACATCATTACATCACCATTACACAATGACATCACTGACATTACATCACCACGAGATCCCTATGACATCATTAAATCACATTACACAATGACATCATTACATCACATTACACAATGACATCACTGACATCATTACATCACCATGAGATCACTATGACATCATTACATCACCATTACACCATGGCATTACTATGACATCATTACACCATGACATTACTATGACATCATTACATCACCATTACACCATGACATCACCGTGACATCATTACATCACCGTTGAACCATGACATCACTATGACATCAAAGCAGCTATTAGCTACATTAGCTTGTAGCTATGATTTTTGCAATTTGTTCAGTTGGTTACAGTTTTGCTGACTTTAGTTGGTTATTCAGTTTTCACTTCATTTTTTAAAATTTAGCAATAATTTCAGTGTTTGACATGACATAAAACCAGTGAAAACAGTTGTCGTACCTCTGAATCGTACCAGTCCCTTTCAGTGGCGTCAAACATATAACAGAAGCCTCCGTACCAAGTCCATCCAGGAGGGCAGGTTGTACAGGTAACTGTAAAACACCTGGAAACTCAGACAGGCTTTGAATCTCCACATCTGCACTTCTTACCATTTACAAAAAAAGAAAGACCAGATTCTGTCTAATCAATAAATTGTCAACAATCCTCAGAAAACATGCGGAGGTTGATGTTTTTATCACACTCATGCTGCAGTTTGAGCATCAAACAAACCAAATAATTTATCTAACATAACGTCTAAAATCATCTGATATTTGATTTTAAACACTCGTCATCTCAAAAAGATAAAAGCACATACTTAGTTCTTGAGGATGACAGTAAGCCTGTGGAGATAAAAACAAAAACAGAGTCAGAATCTGATTGGTGGATCAGTATCGTCTGTAATCATCTCCATGATCCAACAATTTGCCAAATAAAAAAATATTTAAAAAAATTTTTGCATTCATTTTATTTTTGTACATTTTAGGGTTCAGTGTCTTTTTCTTTGGTCTTCTCTGCATGTTTATATTCATTTATGTGTTAATCTATTTAACAAAAGGAAAATCAAGAACTTTTAAAACTTACATTTGCGCCGATCCCCAATCCAGAAAAAAGCAACGCAAAGAGAAGAGATGTCATCTGCAAAACAAAACAGAAAATCAGAAATACTTTATAGGAACAACTATATTTTTAAAAATAAAAGTTTACCTTGTTGTGTTTTTGGGTTCAAACTGCAGCAGCCACACTCGCCTGAGGAAGGATGTCTTCTCAGAGCAAACACTGAGTTTTTATACCTTCCTCTGGTCGGTGGGCCTGTCAGCTGATGAAAGCTCATTAATTAAAAAAATGCAGCTGTTGTTGTGTGACAACCTCTCCCATCTGACCTGAGGCCTGAAGAACAAAACAAGTTCAACACATCCAGGATATCTCTAAGAAAACTGGCTTGACTGACCCTGGGCTGAGATCTTTGAGACTCGATAAGTCAGCTCCAGTTTTTCAACTCTGGACATTTGTACAGTTTTTATTTGGAGAAAAGGGTTTGATCTCCTGATGGAGTGTTCAACATATGATACAATGACAACATTGTTCATCAATGTTTGGCTCAATGTTGCCTGGTACCAAGTCATCGTTTAGACCACCTTTTGCTCAAACATGGCGTTCTTTATTGTTAGCCCAAACCTAGCACAGAACAGAGTAGATCAGAGGCCTCCAGGTGACTCAGTTGTTCAAGTCCTCCAGGGGAACAATGAAATCCCTCACATCTTTTTTTATTAGGACACCCTCCAGAGATTCCAACAAGGTATCATTCATAAATTATTCAGAAATTCATTTAACAAAGTTAAACTAGCAAAACCAACCCTAAATACCTAAATAGATAAATAAACCTAGTGCTTGAAGGTTGACAGAGAGAAATAACTACATAAAATGTCTTAAACAGCCGTCAGGAGGAATGGTTTCAGGTCTGGCCAGTTCTTCTGATGCACCTCAACCTCTGACACCTGAAAAAACCTTCATCTGGTCACCAAGGAAATGGGAGTGATTGTTACCAACTAGAATAAATGTTATAAATAAATGTTTCTGTGAGATACAACATTAAATTAGGGCTGAAATTTTAACGRATTAATTTCGATTAATTAATTACAAAGGTTTTAACGTGTTAAATTTTTTTTATCACAATCCCATTTTTTAAAAGTTTGTAGCCGGAAGCTTTGTATTCACGACCCATTTTCTAGCACGGCCGTAAATCGGATGCACAAGCGACATCTGCAAACAATGATAGACAACAAAGTCGCTTCTCTTGGCCCCCTGAGGGACACCTTTAGCTTTAAAAAAACATTCTGATGGGATTTTCGAAAAGACTACTGTTGTATGCAAGTTGTGCCAAAAGGAGTCTGCTCATCACTGAAGCTACTCAAGCCTAAAATACCACCTGAATGCAAAACATGTCGCGGCAAGCACAGCTGTCGTTAGCATCCCCGGCAGTGGTACAAATAAACGCTCCAGCCAGCCCACACTGGACCAGGTGACGGGTTTCAGGTCCAAAATAAATAAGTCTACATCAAAGAAATTAAGCAACTCCCTGGCTAAATGGATCACAACAGACTGCAGACCACATTCAGTGGTAGAGGATAGTGGGCTACAGTCCGTGTTACAGATTGTGACATCTGACCCTACTTACAAACTCCCGTGTCGGAAAACCATGGCAAGTAAAATTAAGCAGCTTTACGAGGACGATAAGCAGTCAAAACAAGACATATTGAATGCAGTTGAGTTTGTTGCATTGACAGGGCACCATTGGACTTCCATCAGCAATTCTAACTACCTTGGCGTGACCGCACACACAATGTGTTGTCAACAAAGAATGGCAATTAGCGTCTTTCGTCCTCACTGTTGAAAAAGTCAACACCAGACATTCTGCAGTAAACTGCGCAGAGCAGTTTTTTCCTGTGGCTGAGTCCTGGGAAAATGAGAAAAAGGTTCCAACAATTGGCACCGACTGTGCCAGAAACATGATGGCAGCAGCAAAACAGCTCCCATTTCAGCACATGACGTGCATTGCGCATATTTTGCAGAGATCCATCACTGTGTGACTGGACAGTTGTGGATTTCATGATGTACTGACAAAGTGCCGCAAGATTGTGGGTCATTTCAGACACAGTCCAGCCAACAGAATGGAACTGTATCAGGAGCAAAGGGCACTTGACCAAGAAAACGAACTCCTTATCCAGGATGTTTCCACAAGGTGGAACTCCACATGGTTTTTGATCTGTCGTCTTCTCAAAAACAAAGAGGCAGTAAAGGCTGCTCTGGACAAACAGAAGCACAAACTGGTCTTGTTGTCAGCAGCAGAGTGGACAAAACTAGAGAAGTTGACCGCCATCCTTGAACCATGCAGGTAAATAGAAAAAAATTTAAATATTTCCTAAATTATTATTGCCTAAATTGATCACCATAATTGATTAACTAATTTATTTTTATTTCTTTCTCACTGCAGATATGTGACTGATCTTCTGACTTATGTCTCATGTTCTGTGGTCTTGCCTGTCCTATGATTCCTGGACCACACTATTTAGGTCTCTGATGAGGATTCTACCTACATAGTGAAATTCAACACTGCCTTCATGAAGGACTTGTCAGAGCAGAAAGCTGCATTTAATGATTGGCTCAAAATGGCTACAGTGCTGGACCATCGCTTTATGGACTTAAAGTGTCTTCCAAGAGAAGAGCGAGAAGGGGTGTGGAAGAAGCTTGAAGAACTCATTCAAGATGGATCTACAAAAGCTACTTCTGAGCCCACAGATGAGCCACCAATAAAGAAAGGCCTCTTGTGCTTTTCTTCTGACTCTGACTCTGATGATGTAAGTAAGTAAACTTTATTTCTATAGCACCTTTCACAGACACAAACATCACAAAGTGCTTCACAGAAAGCAAAAATAATTAAAAACAATAAAACAGATCACAGATACAAAAACAACAATTAAAACACAATAAAAAGATGTGGGGTCTAACCATGCTTTGAGCATCTATGAAGCAGAACAGACAATCAGTGAGACAGACTCTCCTCTCCACTGGTGGTCAGCACAGGCAGGGGCACATCCACAGCTCTGCCACTTCTGTCCCAGTGAGAGGGTGTTCTCACCGGCTGGGAACATCATCCAGAAGAGAAGAGCAGCCTTAAGCTCTGAAAATGTGAACAGGCTCGTCTGTTTTTTGTGGGATGAATGTTGTGTTCAATTTTAGTCTCTTAAATGCAACATGTTGTTTTGCCACAATTCTGTTGTCACTTTAGAAATGGCACTTTAATTTCTGTTCACACCAGTTGTTAAACTCTCAAGAGCTCCAGTATCGTATAGTTGTATAGTTGTTTTATTTATTTTAAGTTTTACAGCTCTGTACAAGAAATGCTATCATTATTGAGTAGTGTGCTGTTTACATTTATTTTTTATTTTTCAAACATGTTGAACAATCAGGGGTTCCTGAAATACTTGAAATACGAATACCGGTAACTATTTTAGCACTTTGCCCAATCTGTTGGTTTAATAACAATTTAAAAAACATTTCAAAAAGCAATAAACATGTTTGTTGTTAAGCTTATATGTCTATTCATTCAATATTTTAGTAGAAAAATTATCTTTCAATGAAATTGTTTAATTTGTTGATATATATGTTTGTGATTAATTGGGATTAATTAATTACAGAACCAGAACTCAATTAACATTTTTCATTTGAATCCCACCACTACATTAAATATTAAACTTTTACAGGTGTTTTTAAAATGTCAATGAAATAATCTTTTGAGAGAAACCTGGTAATTTTGTCCATTCAGGGTCTTTGCAGGTCTATGCAGCATCTTTTTGGGTCTTTGCAGGTCTGTTTAGTGTATTTTTAGATCTTTGCAGGTCTGTGCAGGGTCTTTGCAGGTCTGTGCAGGGTCTTTGCAGGTCTGTGCAGGGTCTTTGCAGGTCTGTGCAGGGTCTTTGTAGTCTTGACAAGGTTTTCAGGGGCATATTGGAAAGCAATGGGCTCCCCATATTGTTATTTTCAGATCAATCTTAAGGTAATACTTACTTCACACTAAGTTCAGTAACATCGTGTCACAATGAATTAAAATATTTTTCATGCATACATTGCATCACCCTTGCACTGCTACTCCTTGATTGTTTCTTTTTATAAAACCTTCTTTGATCGTCCGCAGGTTGTTCAAAACACTTCTGAAGGCTTCTGAGTCTCTTGGGTTCAAGTAAATTTTTACAAAACAAAATAAAACAAAGCCAAAAATACCAAAGCAGAAACCTGCCTGCTGGGGACAGGCACGTCAGATTTACGAGATACCTTCAATCAGAAGAAGTGGTTTTGTTGTAGCCATTCCTACAGACAGTTCAACTTCCGACAGTTGGAAAAACACTCATGAAAGTCATTAACAAACTGGATGGAGTTGTCACACCACCCACCCTCACACTGGAGGATGATCTAGATAATACAAAAAAAAGAAATAGCAACATGATTGATTTTTGCGGGGTCTTGACAATGTTTTCAGGAGTGCATTAAAAATGCAGATCATGGTTGGATAAGTGGAAACCACCAATGACTTCATCCCAAGGCTGCCTTGTGTTGTGCTGATACAGTTTTGTAGCCTGTAGCTGGATCCTGACACAGTCTGAGAGAGTCCAGTGCCATTGAAAGGCCATAGAACCTAATAAAACATAGCACGAAAATGTGTTTGTCAAGGATTGAGCTGTATAGTTGTAGATGAATAAAATTGTAATAATTTTCAAAATCTCCTAATTGATTATGTAGGTGAGAACATAACAGAGTCAGCATCCAGGGTTAAGGAGGTCCAACAGGGTTAAAGAGGTCCAACAGGGTTGAGGAGGTCAGACAGAATAGTTCAATCAGAGTTTCCACCTCAACATTTTTCAACAACCTACTTGGGGACAAGAAACAAAGAAAGATGCACTATTAGATACCCTAAAAGCCCTCCAGGAGGGATACTTTCAGGTGTAGCCATTCTTGCAAGCACTCCCTGACCACTCTGATTCCTAACTCTGATTCAGAGACAATAAACCTCTGCAGGGCACCAACCAAACTGGACCTGCCTCCAACCAAACCAGCATTGTTCTGTAACAGCAGGTCCACCAATGATGCAAAGGTATATAAACCCTGTGTTCTCTGTTCCAAGACATCCTTCCAGTGAAGCTACTGCTGCTTTGGTTCATCACAGAAAGGTAAAATCTCAGCTGTTTTACTTCATCAGTGTTCTACAGTTTTCTATATTTGGAAGAGRTTTTATTGTTTCCACAGATGGAGTCAGGTCTGGTCTTAGTGTTGCTCCTTTGTGGACTGGGGATCGGAGCACACGTGAGTTTGGAAAATTTGTTTCTTTTCTTACTATTCAATGAATCAAACTGAGCTTAAAGTTATCACTGATTTTGTTGCCATTTGCACCAATTCTTTTCTGACTGTTCCATTTTATTTGTTTTGTTTTTAACCTCAACAGGCTCAATGCTCCCAAACAGGTTAGTGCTTTTACACATTTTGTGGTGGTTAGGCCATCAAACTATGGTATTTTGATTGTGTTAGGATAGTATCACGAAGTATGAGTTTGGGGAGGCTCTAGCAGAGTGGTTAGGGGGTCGTCCTGGAACCAGTAAGTCGCTGGTTCAATCCCCCATCCAGCTGTTTCAGTTGTGTCCTTGGGCCAGACACTTCACCCCAAAACCTCTAATGTGTCCCATCAGTTATTAATGTGATTGTCACTGATTAGTCTCCATGTTAGCTTTGCAGAGACCTAATAAAGTGCTGTGTGAATGGTTAAATGAGGACACAGATTGTAGAGTAAAGAGCTTTGAATGTCCTGGATGGACAGAAAGGTGCTATTCAAGTACAGACCACTGACCATTTATGAAYAAAGAAGCAAAACTATTTATTCAGGTTAGGTTAGCTGATAATTTCCAAAATCATTTTCCATGTTTATATAACAAGTCTTTTCAAAAAAGATATTTTGATGTAAAAGAATGCAAACTGACTCGTATATTCACCATTGGTTTAGCCTTTGGAAAAATCAGCCACACATTTATTTTTGTTCAGTCTATAATCATCTATAATGTGAAGACCTGCAGCTGTGTAGCACCTGTTACGTTTCCAGATGTTTTTCAGATAATTCTTGTAAGAACTGCCCTCCTGGTTGGACCTCATTTCAAGGCCGCTGTTACCTGTTTGTGGATGATAAAATGGACTGGGCCGACGCTGAGGTACAACATAGTCTGTATTCAGGAATTATGCTCCGAAATAGTGGTGTCAATTAAAGTGTCCGAATTAAGACAGTTCAGCCACTCTGAAATGATGTTTATATCCAGCCCTCTTACTAATCTGTTATAGTTAACACTGACTTTTACAGCTTGTTATTGAGTTCAAAATTAAATTTAAATACAATACCAGTTCTAGCATTAGACATATTTAATATGTTCCATTGTCAATAAAATATCGATTTACGAGCTTTGCAGATTAATTTGTTTTATTTAGGGATTGGTCAAATTAACTAGAATTATTCCAATTCAAGGTGACCAACACCAACATAGCCATAACTGTCAGTTTTACAGGTACTGAGCTAAAATTAGTTGTTAAAGCGCTTCACGTGGCCTTTTTCCCAATACATTTTGAATATCTAGTAAAAGTGTTATAATAAAAACAGATGTTTTATTGTCAGTTGGACAGGATATCTTGGATGCACTGTTGTTTATAAGCTGATGTTGGTTGGTTTCTGTCATATCTCTCCTCTCAGCGTTACTGCAACTTCCTGGATGGAAACCTGTCCTCCATTTTATCAAAAGAGGAGTACGACTTCATCAGGGATCTGATCTTTAAAGCTACAGGAAAAAACCCAAGAACCTGGGCTGGAGCCACTGACGCAACAAAGGTGAGGACTGTGAGAAATCAGGTTTGGTAACTAATCCTGATTATTTTATTGCCAATACTTTAATTATTAAGGACTGAAAGTAGCTAACATTGTTGCTGTTGAGTTTTAAAATGGGATTTTTCTGAAGCACACAAAATAAGTAAAATAAAAGACATTTATTGGCTTTTAAATCCTTCCTCTCACAGTTGGGCTACGGGTTGTGGAGTGACGGTTCGACATATGACCAAAACTTCTCGTTCTGGGGCCCCGGAGAACCAGACATGAAAGCTATTGGTGCAAACTGCATGGAGATCAACATGAATGGTATAAATACAACTTTTTTTGTCTAATCTTATTATTTCCACTTGCCCAAAGACGAGTTGCAGGAGATGTTTTTACTGTTCATGTGTTTGTTGGGAAACATTCTCATTAACCACAGGACAAAATTTTATAAATCTATACCAAAATAAATAAATAAATATATAAATAAATAATCATTGTGCCTACAGCTGACCAATGTTGGGAGTCAGGAGTATATAGGTTGGAGCAGACGAGATACAAAGTTGTAATTTCTCAACATAACATGATCTTTGTTTGAAACTCTAGCATAAAAGGTGACAGGTCTTATTATATGTACTACTTCAATAAATACATTTATTGAACCAGGCAAGTCCCACTGAGATCCCAAATCTATTGAAGGTCCTCTTGGACCTGAAGGCATGTTTTAGACAGTAGGAGAAAATCAGAGGTTTCCCAGATTTTTTCCGGTTTCCCCTGGGTGCACCAGTTTCCCAGGTTTTCTCTGATTTCCATCTCCCAGATGTTCTCCCAGGTTTTCTTTGAGTGTGCCAGATTCCCAGGTTTTTCCCACTTTACCAGATTTACTTGGGATGCTCTGGTTTCCCAGGTTTTGTCTGGATTACCATGTTTTCCTTGGGTACACTGGTTTCCCAGGTTTTTCTTTTTGTGGGTGCCCCGGTTTCCCAGGTTTTCTTCCAGTGAGCCGGTTTCCCATGTTTTCTCTGGTTTTCTCTGGTTTCCCACGTTTTTCTGATTTCCTAGGTTTCGTCTTTTGTTATTTAGTGAATTAATATATTTTATTGGTTTTGATTGCTTAATTCATTGTACTGCAACTTGTTTGGTTTTAGAAGTGGTTTCATGAACAAACTGATGATCGATGTCACTGAATGTTTTATGTTGATGTTAAATGTTTTGTGTTGTTTTACAGACATTGATTTTGTCGACAATGTAGTCTGCAGCCAACTGAATCCTTTCGTCTGTGGCAGAAACCCGTAACCGAGCCCTCGTTTCCTGACACGATGATGTCACTCCTGGAAGACATTTTGACACGTCTAATGTTTATGATTCAAATTAATATCTCAGTAATAAATACATGTTCTCTGCAGAAGTGTTACCTCCTGTTTGCATCATTTCTGACTGAGTTCAGATTAGAAAGTTTAGTGACATAAAACATGTTTACATGAGGAAAACCTGCAAACTCACAGGTGCACTGTGCCAAGTYGAGATTACAAAACAAAGTTGAAAATCAAACATTCATGAGTTTCATCTATTTACCAGCGACTGCTGAAAGAGGGTTTGTTTGAATGTTGTGTTATAACAGTTGGGATGAACAGACCTGGATCTGAACACGTGGATCAAAATAAAGAAATAACTGTGGTGTCTGTTCTGTGTAATCTGTGTCTACATTAGGTTTAAACACCCAAACAAGAGTAAAGATAATGTAGGACATTAAGAATGAGGCTACTGGAAATAGTTCATTAAATCAAAGCAGGCTGATAAGAACCAACAGGAGATGGCAGCAACTTTAGTTTTGATGTTTAGTTTGTGTAAGGAGACGTGTGTAGGGATCTGTGTCCTGTCGGCTGTCTCCCTCTTGTGTCATTACTTCTCATGTCTCCTCAGTCTGTTTCCTGTCAACCACACTCACCTGTCTGTCCTTAGTAATCAACCACACTCACCTGTCTGTCCTTAGTAAT